CAAGACAAGCACTGGGCCCCGGGGAGATGCCGTTGGTGCTCGTCTCCTTGGCGTAGTCCACGGCGTCGAAGAGGTTCTTCAGGTCGGAGGTCCTTGTTTCGAGTCCTTTGTTGGACAAGCTGACGGCAGGGGAGAGTTCTGGTCTGCTCTGCCCACAGAGCCACTGAAGTGACCCGGCCACGCTTCTAAACTCTGCCTTCTCTTCCGTCGTAAGGAGGTCGTCTGAAGCCAGGCGACCTTTGCGAAGTTTCCCGCTGTGCATGCCGTCAATGAACTCCTTCTGGTTGATGTCGAGCACGAAGCGTCCGGGTACTCGCTCTCGAAAGCGGACCTGTTTGCCCTTGAAGGTGTAAGTGTTCCCGGGCTCCATGGTGCTGTAGGAACCCCAGGTGAAAGCGGACTTGACCTCGTCGATGTTGTAGTCACTTCTGTAGGTGCCTAAGAAGTCATCGACGTACACCATGATAAGGGCCTTGATAAGGGAGATAATCTCTCCGTTCTGGTCGCGCTTGAGAAAGAGCATGCGGTCGAAGGAGTGCTGTTCGTAGTTCAACTGGAGCAGTCTCTTCGTGACTTCAGCACACCAGAGCCTAGGGGCGTTGCTGAGGCCGTACACGTTGCTCTTGATGCGGTAGAGGTCGGATGTCCATTGACCAGTCATCGCGGAAATCTCGTCAGCGGGCGGCCTCATGAACAATGGTAGCGGTCGTTCTCCATCAGGCTGACGTCCCTGGAGAAAGGCTGTGGACGCATCCGCCAACCAAGATGTCCAGGCTTTGCCAGTGTTCTCGATCTCCGCGTTGATGCCTGCGGTCATGACATGACGAGGTACATGACATGTTCTGTCATTCTGGTTGGCGTAGGACTCTCCCTTGTCAAGGTCTTGAGGTCGGGGTCCAGGTGGCCTAAACAAACCACGCGGCACTTCGGTCGTAGTGGGCCTTGGCCCCTTGCCTTGTCACGAAACACCGCCCTCGACCGTAGTATCCTTTTGCGAAGCTTGGGAGACGCCATGACTTCCTTGACCTGCTCGGCCGTGAGGGGCTCGACAGATTCCCATTGAAACCAAGACTTGGCTTCCTTGACGGCTGACTCCACATAGAGTTCGAGCTGTTCCTTGGGAAGCTTGAGCAGTTGCCCCCAAGGAATTTCACGATCAAGCTGCTTGAGTTCCATCCGGGTGAGCTGCCTTGGGTGACCGCTCTTGTTGACATTGACGCCATCACCGTCAGACTCCACCGGGAAGGTCGTTGGCCCTGTAGTCGCTTGAGAGGTAGCAGTCATAGAAACGCCTTGTCCACGACGCGTCCTCGTCAAAGTCGCCGTGAGGCGCGAGGGAGATGATGCCCTTGTCCAAAATCAGGGTGACCATCGCGTCGAAAGGCCTTTTGGCTGGTAACTGCGGCATCGGTGTCGCCTGTGAACTCGACGACTGGCTTGTAATCGGAGTCGTAGGCAACGGTGCAGACAGCGAAGCTGGTGACGTAGTCGGCTGTTGTGGTACATGACCCTGGGCTGAGCTTGACCCCTGCGTAGAGTCTATAAGATGACCCGCCTGCTGATCTCCGACTACATCTTCTACAGGGACTGGAGACGGTTGTGGTTCTTGAGGTTGACTTTCCTCGAACTGTGGTGACTGCCAGGGCTCTTGTTGTTTCTCACCTAGACCGTGAGGGACTGGAGACGGTTGTGGTTCTTGAGGTTGACTTTCTTCGAACTGTGATGACGACTGCCATGGCTCAATGGCTGTAGCTGCTTCTTGCTCTGTTGACGGAAGTGGTAGAGGAGGTGCGGGCGCAATTGCGGCCGTGTCTTCGTTCTTTGGCAGCCGTGCTCGCGAAGTTGACCTCGCTCTCCTGGGAGTCCCAGGTGTTCGAGATCTGCTCCTGCCTCTGCCAGGTTCTCCAAAGCGTTGAAGAACGACTTGCTCGTACCTTGGGCTGTGTATGTTGACGTTCTGGTGCAGGTGTTCATGATGTTGAACTTGAGCGTCTAGCCGAGGTGCTGGAGGTAAAGGTGTTTGAGGCACCACCACCGGAGTAGGGGGTAGTGACTCCAGCGCCGGAGCTTCGATGTCGAACTCGTCCATGATATAGTCCTCCTTGGGTCCAGGCCCGGTCTGGTCATCCCAAACAGTGTCCTTCAGGGATTGTGAGCCGTCCTTGAGCATGGCAATGTCTTCCTGAGAGGGGACCCAGTTCTCGAACCCAACTGCCGGTCGAAGCTGCTCTGCCGACACCATGGACCAACCTCCCTTTTTGTGGACACCTTTGCGTCGCCAGCGCCAATAAGCGCAAGGCTGTCCTGGACTTATATCCGAGATGGCGGTGGCCTTGGTCTTGCGCAATATGGCTCGTCTGATTCCACGCTCCACAGCAAACTCGGACAGGTGACACAGTGCTTCTGCGCGCATGAGTTCCGCGCGATATGCCATATCGCCAGGGGAGGAGGCCAAAGAAGTTGGCTCGCTGAGCAGGTTTCCTCCAGGTAGGCGAGGAAGCCGTCCAAACACTGCCTGATATGCCGAGCGTCCTTTCGTCATTGCCGAGCTGTTCAGAGCATGAAGAGTTGCAGACAAAATGTCCTCGACTTCGTCTAGGGTGGTAGCAGCGTTGCTGTCAATCATGCGCTCAAGGATCGTCCTGAGCACTGCGTTCCGTCTCTCTATGACGGCTATGGTCCAATGGGCCTCGGGTGGACAAAACTCCACCTCAACGCCGAGTGCTTCCAGTCGGTCTTTGCAGTAGCCCTGAAATCTTGTGTCTGGATCACACCGAAAGCGCACCGGCAGCCCATAAGGCCGAAGCCAAACCCGCTCGATAGCGGTGAAGGTTGTCTCACCCAGCCGATCCGCCAGGCAGGTAGCTTGGTGGAAGTTGGTGGCCACATCCACGATGCCCAAGATAGCCACCGATGTGCCGGTCATCGTCCTGACAAACACAACGTCGCTCTGGAGCTCATCACAGAATTGTCGTGGCTGCATCGATGGTGTTGTGGCCGGTCTGGGAGCTTGTGGTAGTTTGAGGCGCTCGCACGTAGAACACCTTAGCTTGCGTATAGCCTCCAGCTGAGCCGAAGGAGTGCCGTGATAGCATGCCAACCTCGTGAGCTCCTGAGCCGAAGGGTGTCCCATGTTGAGGTGCAGGCGTGCCACGGTCCTCCTCACTTCCATTGGTGTTCCGGGAGACAAGCCTTCGAAGCGGATGTCCGTGGGAAGCGCCGACATAGGCAGCGTCTCCAACTGGCCGCCAGCAGGCTCTGATTCCTGCAAGAGGTCGCCGTACACGAATATGCCAATCAGCACTGGCCTGTCGAAGCGTTGCTTCGGGAACCGGACGTTCTCGAGCGCCTCTACTTCTATGCTGTGGGTGCCGTCGTTGTAGAGGAGGGCGGCACCACGAGCCGTAAGTGGAATATCCATGGGGATCCTGCGCTGCATCGGCATGTAAGTCGCCTGGATCCTGGTGATCTTCATTCGGAACAGGGAGGCCAATTGCTTCCCGAGGTCACCGTCCACGTCAATGAGGAAGGGGCGTCTCGCACCACTGTCGCCGAACATGTTCTTGATGTTCTCGAAAACGGGCTTCCATTCCTCGGGCTCTGTCACAGGCCGCGCCGCTGCAAAGGTCTCGTAGACACCGAACCTCTGAGGTTGTAGTTCCTAAAGTTTGCGACGGAGGCAGGCCGCAATGTTGTAGCCGAGGACGTCGGGATACTCGTGGGAGTCTGCTGCTGCTTGGCCTCGAACGGGCTCGCAAAAGAGAAGGTCCGTATTCGAGAGCTTTTGGGCGAGGTCCGTGATCATCTCGGGCAGGTTGCTGAGGAAGCGGAGAGGCTTGCATACTGGAAGTCCCCCCTTGGTTTCGGCACCGAAAGCACCCAAGTGGCACACTGCCGAGGATACGCCCGGAAGGTCCACGATCTCCAGGATTTCCGGTTGTTGCCAGAGACGGCTCGTCTGTGGATTTTCGAAGAGGAAGAAGCGCCCTTGACGGTGTTGTTCTTGAAGAAGATCAGCGACAAACCTGCGCACGCGGCGGTCATCGTCACGAAGCTGCCGTAGTTGCTCAGGTTGTCCGCGATAGTTGAAGTTCTCGTTGGCGAGGCTGTACAACGTAGAGGGGTAGCCTGCGACAATCAACCATGGCTTCGTTTTCTTAACTGCTCTATATACCTCCTGCTGCGTCTTGGGGTCCGAAAGGTCGGTGCCGGTGTCGCGGTCAAGAGGCTGAAGAGCTCGTAGTTGAAGTTCGGCCGCGAACTTGGTAGGCTTGGCCGTGCCGGCGAAGAGCTCCAAGAGGTCCACGGCAGGAGGCGGTCGTTGTCCGGCATGGTCCATTGCGTCGTAAATGTTGCGCTCGATCTCGTAGCTTGCCACTGCTTTGTCCATTGTTCCAGTCACCCGTCGACGGCTGCCCAATCGAACTCGCCGTCCAGGTCCGTGTTCTCCTGGTTGTCCGCGGGCTCGTCCTGCAGGAGCATCCAAGGATCCTCCTCGACATCCGTGGCCCGCCTCCTGGTAGTCGAGGGAGCCGCCGATGAAGTCGCCAAGGACCTCCTGGTAGTACGTGTCGAGGGTTTGGGCTTGGCCTTGCTCTGGAGAGAACGTCGGGGCTCCTGGTGGGGCAAGACCATGTTGCTGGAAGACGGCGGCGGCACAGAGGAGCGAGAGGAAGGAGGATCTCGGTCGGGAATCCAAAGACCTTGGTCTGGGTGCCAACGGAACCTGAGACCGCACTTGCTGCACTTGCTGAAGCTTCCGTGCATTTTGCCGTAGCGGCGCATGTCCTTGGGGTCGTGCTTGCACCGCTCTTTCTGGATCTCCTTGTCCTCCTTGTCCTCGAGAGGGGTGCCGTAGCCGTCGGCTGGAAGCAGCCCGAGACGAGTCGCCGTTGAAAGGCCGGCCCAGAGCCGGATCCGGTAGCCGCGAAGTGCCGCTACCATCCGGCGCCATGCCTGCATCCATGGCGGAGGTGCTCGAAGCATCCGGGAGTGCACTTTTCGTCCAACTCTTGGGCGTAAAGATGGCTTCCGGAGGTGGATTGTTCCAATCAACTGTCCGCTGAAGCTGCGACCACCTAGTGTCCTTGCTCGAAGCAGCATGAAAATTGGTGACATCAATGGCGAGGTGGCCACTCAAGTTCTTCACTGGCACGGAAACTCCGAGGTACTTAAAGTGCGCTTGCCGTTCAGGTAGATCTAGCTAGCACTAAACCGAGCTTATCGAGGAGTACATTGGAGGCTAAAAACGGGATGTTGGCCTCCACCGCGCCCGCTCCGACTATCATGTATTCGTCACCGATGTTAACTGGGATGTATGCACGATACTCGGCATGAACTGGGCTGCCTTTTCCGAACTGAAAGCTGTCGTCGGTGGTCTTGTGTCGGTGCACCTTGAGGCCAAAAGCGTCCAAGCTCTGTACATGATGCTCAAGCCAGGTGAGTCCGCAGCACGTCCTTTGGCACGCGGTATCTAGGATCATGTGTCCCGAGAGGTCCTGTGCATTGCTAACGGTCTGAACCTGAAACGCAGCCATGTGCACCGTGAACAAACTTCCATAGGCCTGGTCGCCATCGTAGAGGTCGAGGGAACCGTAGTCGACGAGGAAGGTGTCGTTGGGCTTTTCGTCCGATTTGCCTTTGCCCTTGGCCCGTCCCGAACCCTTGTCGTTCGCAGCCTTCTCGGCCAGGGCCTTTTTCGACGACACCTTGCATGCGTCATCGCCCTTCCAGTGTCCGACCTCGCCGCACGCCATGCATGTCGTGGTCGCCTTGAGCTGGGCCGGGGTCTTTTTCGGGGCGCCGGAGAACTTCCGGCCAAGCTTCACCGACTAAGGCGGCGAGCGGTGACGGTCAGAACCTGAGCCAAATCCGCTAAATCGTCGTCGGCCTCGTTCTCGTCCTGCTCCTGGTCGCCGGCCTCCTCCTGGTCGTGGTCGATGGTGAGGTCGTCCTCCTTGGCATCGTCGGCCTGGTCGTCATCAACAAAGGCCTGCTCCTCGGGGATGTCCTGGAACTGCGTCTGGTCGACGACCCAGACCTTCTTAAAGGAGCCTTTGCCCGAGTCCTTTGCGCCCTTGCCCGGTGAACTCGCCGAAGAAGAAGTCGACGAAGAACCGCCTTTGTAGCCCGACCCGCTGTGCTTGCCGGTCCCCTTGGGAACGACTGGCTGCCCATCACGGCCGACAGTCGAAGGAGGTGGTCTGAAGTCGGGAAATTGCATGCACATCGACTCGGAGACATCCTCGAAGGCCAAAGAGTACCGCGACCCGACCAGTATAAGCCGCTGGTCGTTCGTGCCAAGCTTGGCACGCTCGAGCAACCTGTTTCCCCTGGCATCGGAATCGTACATAGCAGAAACCTCCATACCAACTGCACCCAAGTTGCGTTCAGCTCGCTTGTAACGGTTGACGTAGGAGCGCATCGACTCATTGGCGTAGCGGCCGATTTGTTCGAAATCGGCCAGGTAGCGCCTTTTCTGAAATATGGCCTTTTGTTCCATTGGCGCTTGAAGCGAAGAGATAATGAACTCTATCCCCTCGCTGGAGTTGATCCGCTCCAGCGGAGCGTGTTCTAATTCTGCTTCCAATTCTCCGGTCAAGGAATTGTAGAGGAGGAGGCTGGCCTCCTTCTTGGGCATGTACGGCGCGATTTGTACTTCCCAAATCCTCACCTTCCTGGTCCATTTGGCAAAAGCGCGTAGATCATCACGATCGTAACGCCACACAGGTGGAGTGGGTGGCGTGCCCCCGCGCCACTTGACCTGGCGCTCCGGCCCCATCCTGCTGTTCCACGAAGGAGCCGGGGAGGCGCCTTTCAAAGCTGCTGCCTCCAAGTACGCCGGGTGCTCTGGTTCATCTGCTTCGGGGGCCGTCTTCACCTGTTTCGCTGCATCTGTGGTGCGGCTCCCAAGCTTGCCTCTGTGATGCTGAGGTAGAACAGGTGCGTTGCGGACATGTTGCGGAGGATCGCGTCGTAGTGGTAGTCCTCGGGCCCCGGCGCGCCGCCGGTAGACGTCGAAGTCGAAGTGGTCGGGGTCAACGATGGGATCGTCGGTAGGTCGCTCCGACTCAGCCCATTCGCCAACCTCTGAAGCTTGTCCTTCTGAGTCGGGAGGAGGTCCAGCACGAGTCCTCAAGGCTCGCCGCTGTCGTCTGCTCAACCGAGGTGCCGGAGGAGCGCCCGAGGTAGACGATGAAGTCGAGGAAGAAGTGTTGCCATCAGCATCCGGTCCTGGATTGGGGGCCGGGATGTAAAGCCATGTCCCCGTAGTCGTCTGTCTTCGGTGCATCCTGTCCGGGCGATAAAAGTCTCTTCCCGAGCAAGCCAAACACTCCCAGACGCCGTCGGCGACGTAGACCGCTTGGTCTGAATCACACCCACAGCAAAGCCATCCTGCTGAAGCTGTCGAGGTAGGCGGCGGAGAAGCTCTCGAGGGGTTCGCGGTGCTGCTCTGGATCTCGCGCCATGTCCTGAGTTCAGGTTCTCAGGCCGCTGCTCGGATCCGCTTCGCCAGGCGAATCCCCGATAAACGAGGAAAGAGGCGGAGGTCTCGAAAGCGTCGACGCCTGGTCCATGGCGCACGTAGGCTCCGGTGCCAACTGACAAGTCACCGGCTAAAGGCAACGAGAAGCGCAAGACTGCTTTTTCCTGCGCGCTAAGCTGAAAGCTCAAGAAGGGCCCCGTCTGCGGAGGAGCTGCAGTTCACAAGCTGGTGTTGCACAAGCACAAAAGAAGCGACTGAAAGCTAACACACAATTCTCACACTCTCTCTCTCTCTCTCTCTCCACTTCACTTCAGTTCACTTCAGTTCACTTCACTCACGGGGTCCAGAGGGCGTGCTCCCTCTCGCTCTCTCGCTCCCGCTCCCTGTCGCACGCGAACGTGTGGGCTCTCGCGGGCTCTCTTTCCCTCTACCTCTGCCTGTCTGTCGTGTCTGTGAGTCTTCCTTCCCGTCTCGTATCTCACTTTCGTTCTCCGTCTGCTCTCAGCAATGTTTTGCTGGTCTTTGGATCTCTACTGCCGGTCAGCGCACCGAAGCATAGGATGCCCCCATCATGATCTCCTTTCACGAATCACAGATGTCGGGGAGGTGCCGGCAAGCCGTCGGGCCTTTTCTTCACGGTACAGGGTCTTTGTGTCTGTATCGGCCATTCGGCCTCTGGGGAACTGTGCGAAACGTAAGCAGTGGCTTCCCAATTTGTGGATCTAGAGTGCAACCCCAACCGAGTGCATCAAGCAAACTTTTCCGAATGGAACCCACATGTATGCCACGGTAGAATTCACTCTTGGGAAACCCATCAGACTGTCTAGAACAGCTGCGGGCCTGACAGCACATGGCCTGGCGAAAATCTGAACTGCTACAGGCGACGCCTCTTCGCTGCGTCCAAAGCAAGTCGCACATGATTGGTCCGACATGCAACGAAAGTCTGAAGTCAAAATCCTGCACACTGTACACATCTGCCACGTACCGGACATGCGTCGACGTGGTGTCGCACCACGGATGGCCCCCGTCACTGGCCATCCACATCGATGACGTCGTCCTTGGCCTTGGCATCGCCGGGCGGTGGGGCTCCAGACTCACCTTGCGCTGCTCCCTCCGCGCTCCTCCTGCAAATCCTTAGTCATTGTCTCAAGGAGCTCGGTGTCCGGCTCCGCCTCGCCTTGTCCTTCAGTGCTTGCAGCTTGGGGTCGCTGGCCTTCAGATCTGCAGGCACCTTCTCACCGAGATGGGACAGCTGCTTCTCGGTTTGGTAGACCAGGCTCTCTGCGTTGTTCTTGGTCTCTACACTATCCTTTCGCTTGGCATCCTCGCAGCGTTGGCCTCAGCGTCCTGCACCATCTTATCGACATCTGTCTTGTCCAGCGTGGAGGATCCGGCGATGGTGATCGTCTGCTCTTTGCCTGTGCCACGGTCCTTGGCACCGACGTTGAGGATGCTGTTGGCATCAAGGTCAAACGTCACCTCGATCTGGGGCACACCTCGCTTTGCCGGCGGCACACCATCGAGGCGGAAGGTTCCCAGAATCTTGTTGTCTGTTGCGAACTGCCGCTCACCCTGCAGCACCACGATCTCCACGGATGGCTGGGAGTCCGTGGCAGTTGAAAAAACCTCCGTCTTCTTGGTTGGGATGGTGGTATTCCGAGCAATTAGGACCGTGGCCACACAACCCAGAGTCTCGACAGCCAAGGACAGGGGCGTTACATCCAGCAGGACACTATCCTTCATATCACCTGCCAGGACACCAGCTTGCACAGCCGCACCCACAGCCACCACCTCATCCGGGTTCACGCTTTGGTTGTGCTTCTTGCCTCCGACGAGCTCCGATGCAAGGGCCTGGATGGAAGGAATTCGGGTGGAGCCGCCCACGAGCACGATCTCGTTAATGTCACTGGCGCTCAGCTTGGAATCTTTCAGCGCATTCTCGACTGGAGTTCTGCATCGGGCGATGAGCTTGCTGGCGCGCTGCTCGAACTTGGCACGAGACAAACTCTGCTCGATGTGCTTGGGACCCGTGGCATCGGCGGTGATGAAAGGGAGGGAGATCTTGGCCTCCTGCACGCGCGACAGCTCAATCTTGGCCTTCTCCGCAGCCTCGGTGAGACGCTGCAGCGCCTGCCTGTCCTTCAGGAGGTCGATTCCCTCGGTCTTTTGGAAATCTTCTGCCAGCCAGTCCACGATGACCTTGTCGTCGCCACCCAGGTGGGTGTCGCCGTCAGTGGCGAGCACTTCACAAACCCCATCACCGACCGCCAACACAGAGACATCAAAGGTCCCTCCACCGAGGTCAAACACCAGAATCGTCTCGTTGCTAGCCTTTTCCAACCCATACGCCAACGATGCCGCAGTGGGCTCATTGACAATTCTCAACACGTCCAATCAAGCTATTTTTCCGGCATCCTTCGTGGTCTGACGTTGGGCGTCGTTGAAGTATGCTGGAACAGTCACGACGGCCTTCTGGACCTTGGCACTCAAGTATGTGCCCGCATCCCCACTCAGCTTTCGAAGAACCTGCGCAGAGATCTCTTCAGGGGCGAACTTCTTGCTTAAGACCGGACAATCGATACTTTCTCGCCCGGGGCCACTTCGGCACGCGAGGCGACTCTGCTGGCTCGGCCCTTGCGCCGGGTGGATACCGCCATGGCACCAGCCGTGGCTGCCGCCGTCCCGACCGTGAAGGCGCCGGCGCCACCGGCGCCGGCCTCGGGAGAGGCCTTCGCAGAGGCCTTCACAGCAACCGGCACGCGTCGGTTCCCCGAATCTGGGGAGGCGACAAAGCCCAGCCCGGCAAGACCAGCGCAGGCAACCGCTGCGGTTCCCGCCTTCGGGGCCATCTTGATTGCAAAGCGCAAGAAATCAGAAGTCGCAAGTCGCTGTGACAGCTTGAGCCAGCATTGCAAGACAGTGCTGTAATCAGGGTAGGGGGGGAAAAGGCCGACAGACTCCGATTCATGTCCAGCATGCAGGCCTCACGAGCCAAACAGATACTAAAAGAATCAGACGTCGCCAGGCTAGCTCTTGCGCTTTCGGTCTCACCGACTGCATGAGTGGTTGACAAGCGGTCGGGGCTCCTCTACGGCTGCTAGCCGATGCGCGACCTTCCTCGCAAGCCGAACGCGAGCTTTGAGTCATGGCATGTCATGCGTGGACCGTTGCCTGCCTGGACCAGCCAGGAGTTCTGGCCGAAGCAGTCGCGGGGCCGGACGCGGATGGCTGACAGGCGCAGTGCTCAATTGAGTGAAACGCAACCGTGAAGGAGTCTTCAGACGGAATGGCTATCAATGACTCCTCCGATGCCGAGACATGCAGAGACCAAATCGTTCTCGAGCGAACCACACCTGGCTTGCGGCCGAGATGAAGGTGGTGGTGGAGGCGACCTGCAGATCGGGGCCACGTTTTGTCAGGTTCTGAGGTACTGGGGACCACGAAAAGAAAGCTTGAGTTCTGCTTTCCGGAACTGTGTGCGCACAGACTCCAGTGAAGCTTAGACTTACGCAGCTGATGCCTGGCATCCAGAAGCCCAGAACATGTCCTCTCCTCCGGAGCTGCACGCTGCGGCTCGGCTACAGCAGCAAATTCATCAGGCCCAGTCGTCGGGAAAGTGGCAAATGCCTTCCAATTCCAACACTATCAGAACAATTCAGACCAGTAGTTTCTGTTGCTTCCTGCGCTTTCAGGCTTTGAGCCTTCCAAGGCTGTGCTACACAGCTGAGCTGCATGCTTGCATTCTTGACTGTACTCGTGGTAAGGACAGCGTGTTGGCGGATCTTTGCGCAGCTGGAAGCCTTGTGCCTCGAGGATTCGATGCTTGCTTGACTGCCTTGACTGGGCCGATTCTTGGACACATGGTTGGCTTCTGCCATGATGGGTTCGATGCTTTTTTTGTGGCGCTAATGGAGGGACGAACTCCCATTGCATCGTGGCGATTGCACTGGGCTCAGGCACAAGTGAACACGAAAGATGCCTGCCTGTGTCTCGGTAACCGTGGCAGTCATGTCTGGGCTGAAGGCTTGTCCTTGGCTGAGGTGACTGCTAGTGAGCTAGTGCCCTTGTTCTACATTGTGATTACGAGTCCTAGGTCAGGCCCGAGCTGCGACCCGGACCAGCCACTGCAGGCGGCGCGTGCGCCTCCGAGGCCCCACCAGGCCCGGGCGGCTCGCCGGCAGCCTGCAAGGACGAAGCTCTGCCCCCTCCCGGCCCACGTGGCCCAAGCTGTGCCTGTCGGAGAGTGCGAAGCAGAGCGCCCGCAGACCTACGGTCTATGCCTACGCTCTGTCGCCCATGGACGTTTCAGGCGAGGTTGGTGGCATTTGGTGGCTCTCTGATCCGGCCCGGAAACTGCATCAGAGAAGCACCCAGCGCTGGCTGCGAAGGACTGGTCGAGTCTGGAGCAGGGAGTACATGGTTTTGCGGGAAGGGGCATCGCTTGTGTATTTGTTGGTGTCGCTTGTGTCGGTCTATCGCTTGGGAGACTCTTGGGAGCAACAGTCTCGAACGAGACGCCTGTGGTGTGACCGGAAAATCGAAAATGTTAACCTTCGGCCCTCTGAAATCTTCAGGGCGCTATCGGGCAACAGAACAAAGACTCAAGTGAACTAGCTGAGCTTTCTGGTGCGATGGATTCTGGCAACCGCTGCACTGCCTGCAAACCCCAGTCAAAAGGGAAAGTCAAACACCGAACCCCAAAACCCCGAACATCCGAAGGAGTGAATAGGAGCGAATCCAACCTGAGCGAGGCCGAAACCGAAACTCCAACACTAAAGCCAGAACCCAAAAAGGCCAAACACCACAAGGATAAGAACCTCAAGCCCTACACCAGAAACCGCAAAAACCGTAAGGAGCCCTGCCCATTGCCTTCAGCCCAGACCCCAGAAGGCTGCAAAAGGATGGCGAGCAAAAAGACACAAGCAACACCAGAAACAAGACACAGGCGAACGCCTGGAAGGAAGACACGAGTGGTCCGAGACCCTACGCACAGCTCCACGGTCTGCTTATAGGGAGCAAAGAAGTGGCAGTGAAACGGAACTTCCGGAGCTGAGTGCCTTCGTTCGTTTTCGGCCGCCGGGCTGCTGCACTCGCAGCGGCCGCAGCCTCCACCTAAGACCCACTGGTGGTGGCTTCGCTGGCCGCTGTAGCAGCGATCGAAACTTCTTGCAAGAAAATCATCAGGCAGGTTTGACTAGCCCTGTTTCAGCAGTTCACTTGCGGAGACAGCTGGCCTCCTGGAAGGCCTCCGTGAGGCCAAAGTACTCGACGAGGTGCCAGAACTGCTCTTCCTTTTCCGGTGGAACCTGCTGGGCACTTCACATCACATCTCTGCCAGAAGTGGTTCTAGCCAGACTTGCTCACAAAGGCCCATTTTAGGCCTAGGCCTAGGCTTAATGTTGCCCCCACCCCCCCCCCCATAGACTGGTCTCAGTTTCCATCACCGTGGGCAACCCCCCTAACTGCCAAAAAAACCGAAAAATCGATCAAAGCCACCACACCTTCGGCAGGGGGAAAGGGGCACGCTGGCTCTCGAAGCGCTTGGTCCGCAGGATGTTCAACAACCTTCACGCGTGTAGCACATCGAGAAAACTTACGGAGGAAGCTGCATGAGGTTATGCATATGCTGTGTGCCAGAAGTTCCTTTTTAGAGCACCCGCCGAAGCGGATGAGCACTCAAAGCGAGCTTACAATGATCACAAATTTCAAAGGGCTGAGGAGTCCCGAGCCCCGAAGGAAGTCCGGTCAGGCTACAGCCGGAAGCACACTGGGTCGAAGTCCAGGAAGTAGCGGCCACCACCTGAGCTCGCTTCCCTTCTGATATGGTGATGAAATGTGATGAACTAGCCCTGCTGCTGAGCGACTGTCTTTCTCAATGCTCGCCTCCCACCGTCCCGAGAACAGGTTGGACAGGTAAGAATCCTGGGCAGCTCAACCCAAGAGGTAAGATCTGCCTCTGCCACCGGCCTTGCGGCATCGGCACTTGGACAAGCTGTTGTCCAACTTGGTGCGCCAGGTCGCATCGAAGACACACAGCGTGGATCTCCTGGTTGTGAAGACCTCTCCACCGACATTCCTGGGGTCAGCCAGTTCGAAGGTGTTTAGGAATTGAAATCTCCAAACTATCTCATACTCAGTAAGAAAGCCCGGACATCACGGCCCACTACGCGCGAGCCCACTGCGCCAGGGTACAGCGCGATGAGATCGTCTTCAGGTTCACGGTGGCCGGTAAGGATCTGGAGCCGCTCCTGCAAACGGGCCGAGGGGTTGAGGCTTCCGGCCAATGCATCTGCATCGCAAGCGGCGAAAAGTCTACCGGGCCATCTCCCTCAGACCTGGTCGTAGCCCAGTGCGCTCCGCTCTTCCTCGATCCTGGAAGGAGTAAGAACAGGAGCATATTGCACTGGGACCTAAACAAGACGACCCTCCACGTGGATCCAGCCCCACCTCGCGACACGGTCAATCTGACACATAGACGAGTGCAAGCAGCACGTGGCAGGAGCAATAGCTGAATAGCTGTGACGGTAGTGAAGTTGCAGCAGTATCGAATGGTCGAAAGATGCCCTGGTGCCCTCGGGTGGTCCTGAGCTGTCTTCCTCGCAACTCCTGCATGCTGCCCCGTATCACGCGCACACACACACACATCTTTGCCAGCTGCTTGGGGCAAAGCTGCACCAGTAGATTGGATGTCTTGGAAACTCTCGGCAGGTCAGCTGCTCCCAGCTCCGCCGGCGTCCTCCGCAAGCCCACGTCGCTCTTCCTCCAAAGCCTCAGGGTGAGCTTCGCAACCCAACGAGCCACTGTGGACCATGGTGCTAGGAATGCTCAGTCCACACTTTGAAGATCTCACCCTCCAGCTGCACCGAAAACCGCCCCGACTCCTTTTTTCGGTCTCTGCACTCGACTGAAAAACCATCGGCTTCCCCCCAGAAGGAGAGCACGCGACGAAACTCCTTGCACAGGCCAGCTGTTAGCTCCTGCCCACGATAGCCTCTAGAAATTGTCCTGCCTAAAATGGCCATCTCAAACCACGCTTCGACACTTCAGTACGCGCTGTCTGTCCCTTTTTTCCATAGAACATGCGACGTGGGAGTGTGTGAGTCCTCGTCTGGGAGATGAAGCAGCAGCAGGAGAACCTGTCCATGCAGTTGGAGCTTGGAGCTTCCCGGTCATTTAGCAACAAGTGTTACATTAGACTTTTTGGTCTTCAGGATTGTACATCAGCACAGCCCGGCTCTGCGCATTGGTTTGTTGGAACGCATAACATCTGGCACTTGACACCGAGAAAGAGAGAGACACACACACACACACACTGTGCGGAGCCTGCCGATCAAGGTTCATGTGCTGTGCCATCATCGTCGTAGCTGAGGCTCCTAACACCAGCTGCGTCTCCGGAGTGGTATGTAAGTCAGACATCGCCCAAGAGCTGATAAAACCAGACGAACCATTGCACAACATCCGGTGACACGGCAGGCAAACGAATCCACCCAGCCACACCCAACCGTACCCGAGCAGATCTCAGAGCCCTCGCTATCTGCAGCTACGAGTATGGTCAACAGAGCTGGATCATTCTGCAACCCTCCAAAGCCGCAAGTCGCCTGCAGCATACTGAACTCACTAGAAGCTGCGCACACACACAAACACATGTAAACACACGAAGTCGCATCACAACATGTCACGGCCGCAAAGTGGGTCCCGAACGGCGACGCAGGTCCACGTGCTCTTCGAGCTTTGCCGCAGGCGCCTTGCAGCCAGCCTGTGCTGGCTTAACCCTACTAAATTCTACGGCAGGCTACGGCCGAAGCCATATATGATGGCTTGGGCGAAGGAGATTACTCCCAGGAGAGCGCTCCTATCTGCTTCCAGATTCTTCAAACTTGGGCCCACACCTCAGCCTCCCACACCCCTGCCAGCGTGGCGCGGCCCAGCGCTGCGAGCGCACGCGGCACGGCGATCGCCCCTCTGTGACACGACTTGTGGTGTTTTGAGAAGGTGTTTCAAAACAACACGGTAAACGGCGTGCACCAGCGACCTTCGGGACCACATTGCAGGGCTGCCCTGCGTTACTGCTGATGACACCGATACCCAGACGAGATTTTCAGTTTCCTGCTGTCCAGATTTCGCTGTCAATGCAAGAACAGCCAAACCTGCAAGGCTGCATTCCATGAATTCCTACGAGGTTCTGCCAAGGTGCGGTGCCATGCCCAGGGATCCACCCTGGAATTCTCAGAAGCCAGATCGCAAAGCAAGGAACCCGACGCTCCGGCCTCCGGACCAAGAAAATGGCATGGCACTGGACGTCACATATCAGCAAGCCATAGCCTCGGAGCCAAGGCCAGCGCACATCATCGCACATAGATCCCTCGACTCGGCTAGCAGTGATTCTTTCAAGTGGTCGGGCCCGGCCAACAACGAAGCAATCACGGAGCTGATTTGAAAAACGCAGAAACTTGAGGAGCCTCCACGCCTCGAAGCGAAAACCAACTTCGTCCGGGGTGCCAGGCACCCAGCACAGGCCTTGTGGCCTCGCCAGCTGCGCAGCCAAGGCAGGGCCATCTGCGAGGCACAAGAAAGAAGTGGCTTTCTGATTGCTGCATGCCTGGGCCTCCCTTTCCTCCAACAATCTGGCATAAGCTGCGTCCAGCGGCCAGGCAAAGCCAGTTTAAGCCGCGTGCTTCGGTGTCAGGCTTGCTCGGGAGGAGTGTCGTGCATCGTTGACGCTTGATGAATTACGGCAGGCTCAGGGTGGCCGACAGTCACAGGAGGATCGTCAAAAGGAAACCGCGGTAGGCAGGTGGTAGGTTTTTAACGTCGTAGAGTCGTAGGTGACTCTGGTGTTGGTGTGTTTAGGGCCTGCTCGATACTTGCACAATGCACAACATTGCACAACTGCGACTATTGACTACATAGGCTCTGTCGGTAATGTGCATGTGCAGGCGAGCACGCAAGGCAAAACAGTGCAACAGCTGTTCCTGGTTTGGAGGTAAAATTTTAAGTTTAGCAGCTAGCAATCCCATTTGGCACGACCGACCCTCGCAAGCATATAGCACGTAGAAACTACATGAAGCCCATCACGAAGCCCTTCCAAACCTCTGAACCGAACGTTCTGATTCAGGACGTCCGAAACCTCAGAAATCAGATTCCATAAATTGGAGAAGACCATCTCCCCGAGCTTCCAGCATACTTGCCCTTTTCCAAGTCCTGGCCTGAGCAAGTTCTTGACAACAAGCCGGGACTCGGTTGGGTCTCTGTTGGGATAGGGATGCAAACAATGCCTACTGGCAGGAGATGTTTGACGTGCTTCAGCTCGAAACCCAAAACCATACCTACCCTGTTATAAGCCAGAAACAGCCAACTCCCACAGGCTGCTTCTGTCACCACCACATCTGAAGACTTGGTCCGTCGAGCTCGATGATTCCCGACGAGGGACCACACGCCAGCTGTGTTCGGAATGAGGTGGCGCGGCAAAGGCAGGCTGGCGCTCTCACCTCACAAAGAACCAGGCTCACCGCGATCCACGTAGTTGACACTGACATTAGCCAAGCCCCACCCACTCTCCAGGTTGCAAAGCCCTATCATGCCAAGCACACCAGCAAAAGGAGCAAGCAACTCTGCTTGGCAACTAGTGGGGCACCGGCCTGTGCCCGCGCAAGTGCCCCAGTTCCACTCGATGCTCGAACTCGGGCGGAACTGCAGCACCTGCCCAAGCTCAGGTGCGGCGCTCTGGATCTGGGGTGCGCGTCCCAGTTGTGAGAAAGAATGCTGCAGATTCCACATCTGTGACCCGATGCAATGCACCACAGACTGTAAGCATCGTATTGCGGAATTGGGCCATTAGAGCCACGCTTCTTAAATCTCGCTTGTCCCCGGCTTGCGCTTCTGCCTCCGAACTGCGGCCCTCTGCGATGAAGGCCGTGCCTTCAAAGCTGTGACGACACCAGCAAGTTACCCGCAGTCAGCTGCGAGGCGACCAGGAAAGAAAGCTAATTATACAGCACTGGCTGATGCAAGACATGCCCCTGACATCCGAATGCCTTTGCATGCAGTTTCTTGTCCGTTGCTTCATTCACTACACTACTTCTTATGCGTCGCATGCGCCGCTGAGCACAGGTGTTCATGAAAGGCAAGACTCCCACCATTATGGCAATTCCATGTGTCGAACGCTGCAGCAAGCTCCTTGAGGCGTCAGTGCCAAGCCGTCGGGGGCATCCACTGCCGAAGACCTAGGAGAACTTCAACAACTTAAGGTCCTCTGCTGTTTGCTGGCCGGGGTACAGAAACCTTAACATCAAAGCTCCACCAAGCCGCAAGGTGATCAGCTTTCCTGTGGATCGCTCCAACATTCGCAATGCACGGTTCCTCGCCATGCCAACGCATTCAGCCAAACGATGCAAGCGGCATGTGCGACATGCTGTGAAGGCGCCCTGCTTCCAAGAAAATGATGTCGCCCGTCTTGGACACCTCGGGCACGAGGATACACAGCAGTCGGCCGTTGCCGGCAGGGATCGTGACAGTCGAAATCGCACTTAGCTAGTGCAGCCCTGCGGGTGCCTTCACCTTCAAAGGGTTATTGATCGCGGCGTGCAGAGCCGGAGCTTCGGACACCAAGGGGCCAGGTTGACCTCGCAGAACGCTGGTGTGACTGATCCTGCTTCCGGATGCTTCCGGCTAAGACCTGGTAAATCTGACGTCCTGTATCGCTTGGGCGACGCATCACGAAGGTTGGAGTATGTTGGAAATAGAAATCGTCGATGAGCGTCCAGTTCCCGCCACCACCTTGAAGGACGCTGGCATCTGTCCTCGGTCTGGCTGCTGACTTCGCACATTCGCTTATTGTATGTAGCTTAATTGCAACATGGGCTCTGGCACTGGCACCATCGAAATATTGTTCGTTTCCGGTCCTCAGGCAACTGCATCGTGAAGTCTACCAGTGTCGAAGATGAAATGAATGTGCCCTGGGCTCCCCGCTCGTTCAGCGGCACTTCAAGAAGCAAATGCCCACTGTGCACGGCAACGACGAGGCACTTCAAAACTTACTGTTCCGAAGACACTTCGGCTCGTGGACTCGATGCTCGATATAGTTGATGACACATGCAGACACATGCCGCATCATGCCACAATGAACTCAAAACGACGCTCGGCCACCGGCATCTCAACATATCCCAAGACGGCATAATACAGCAAACTGACTTGCGAAATCCCGCTCACGACTTCTTGCAAGCTGGCGACTGCCCGATTGTTGAGAACGCAATGCCACCAAGACCATACTCACTTTGGAACACCTGATCTTCTCGAACGTCGGCATAAAACGACTGCCGTGAATTGCAATCCAACATTCTGTATGGACGGCCCCGCCGTGCAACAGATCCTTGCCAAGCCACAGTTCGCATTGTTGGTGGCTGCCGCGTTAGATCCAACGCCCTGTGCAACAGGGCACTCAGCCGTTGCGACTCATCACGCCGATTAAGCCATCCCTCCATTTCGTCCGTCATCCCCTGCGGTCCAAAGCGGCAGGATGCTGCAGTGTTTCCATGCTCCGTACCATTCTGGCAGCAACATGACATTTCTTTTGTGAACACGCGTCACGGCAATGGCCTCACGGCATAGAGCTCGCAAACCTCAGCTGGCGACATGCTTGCAACTCGCACTTGGCAATTGCAGCTTCGTGACAAAATCCACGACATGTGCAAAACGCGGGGCATACAGAGTCATCTCGTCATCTGACAAGGCAACGTCGTGAGGGTATTCCTGACTGCCGAATTCACCAGTTGAGTGCTGACTCCCGCAAACTTTTGTGAAAAGAAAGGGACATGTTGTTCGACGTGTTGCCTGAGCTTCGCAGATCTGGGCGAACATGCGTGACACAATCGCATCTTTTGATTGCAAGGTCCTGCTTACACCATACTACATTCTGGGATGCCCCACTGTCCCAAACAACGGCGTTGTACGACGTGCCAATACGTGCCGTAAAATATAGAGCACGCTCGACTCCAACTTTGGCGTGGATGGTGCGTGACGTTCGGATACGATCGGCAAGAAATCACAACCATTACGCACCGTTGCTGTCAGTCATCGTGTGGCGTTTCTATGTTTTAGTGTTTTCAACATGGCCAGATTCCAGCGCTGCCATGCGCCCGTCGCATCCGTCTCCTGGCCAGCGCGGGCCTGTGCAGCGCAGGGGGCTCGACAAACACAAGGCCCCATGCAGTCTACACCGCCTGCACTGCCACCACGAAGGCCCTGTTGGCCAGCCACGATGCCAGGCACTTGTCCAGGAGTGCAGCCCCACACCTTAGTTTTTCGCACGATTTCGTTTCCCAAACACCGACCCCATGTGATGCAAGCTAAGCACGAATAACTGATGCCATCAGGTCCTAGGCGCCGAACGCAATGCTGCGACATGTCGGCCACGTACAAGGCACCTGTGTCCTCATGACGGCGGGAACAAACAAACAACTCCAGCAAAACTTGCAGGACACATATGGACGCAAGACCTTGTGGCCAAAATGTGTGAAAGTCCCAACCTTGACCCACGCCACGGCGCGAGGGCTGCGCATGTCAGCTTCCGGTGACTTGGTGGTACAAGGAAGCACGCGATCCCTGCACATCTTAATCCGGACATCCAAGCGTCGGTGCAAATGACCGTCTCCAACCATGTCGGGAATCGGTCGGCCAAACCCTGTCCAAAGCATGGTGTTGCCGCAACACACTTTCAACAACCGCGTCGCATCTTACTTAAGCATCGCCCAGCTGCAGTTATTCACTCAAGATTAAACTTTTTTGCGCAAGTATTGATTTGGATCGGACGGCAAGCTGCCAGCCTGAAAAAGGCTTGACAAAAAAACACAAGCCACCCTCGCCCACCTCACAAGTTTTAGACATTTCTGGTCTCGTAACATTTTTACCTGTTAGACCTTCATAGCAAAAGTGCAACCGAGCAGTCCAACAACCACGGTGCGGGATCACGCTGCACCCGCCGACAAAAAAAAAACCCTTTGCGTACGCTTGCGCCCGGGCTCAC